CCAGTCAGGCTGATGGTCACCCAGCTGTGCTCAGATCTTTTTATACTTCATGATCACCTTTTTCAAAACTACTTTTTTGTGTTGATCACAAAATGATTTTTAAGGATATTAGAGAAAAGGAGGACATGGAATGAAAAAAACATTACTTTAATAGTCCATGAAAAAGCATTACTTTAATAGTCCATGATCTTAACTGGAATTATAGAAGAGCAGGGCTTGTCAATTGCAATGGGGAACTATTGTGAGAAACAGTCTCTCCATCCTAAATTTCCAGTAAACAGGATGTCCTCGAGTATCACGTGGTTTGTCTGTCAGTGACGGTAGATCATATTTTGAGTCAATAATTCTTCTGGAGAAAAGAGAGGAGCTACCGCTTGTTTGTCAGAGCCCCTCCAGCCTGTCTCTCTGCCCTGTCCAAGTCCCGGCCCTTGGCCCCCACACACTTGGCATCTCCCTGGACTTGAGGTCCTATCTGGGTCTCAGGTAGGAGGAAGGGCTCCCTGGAGCCCTGCTTTCTGAGACTCAGCATCCAGCTGGGCTTAATGCTGGTCAGGCTCTGACCTGTGCCCTAGGGACTGATAACTGGGGTATCTGCCTCCTTTCACAAGCCGCAGGCCTCGGTTATAGTGTCTGGATCCAGTCTTGCTTCTCCAGCCTGAGTCCCAGCCTAGGTAACCTGCCTGATTGCCTTGTATTTCCCAACCCATGACCCTATAGTATTGTCACTAAATCCCTGTTCCCCCTGGACCAGGGGGGTTCAGGCCCTGTGACCTGCGGTTGGAGTTCCCTGACAAAGCTGGTCTGCCTGGTCTTGTGTTTGTCGGCTGCTAATGATCTCTACCCAGGACTGGATCTATAATGCTACCATTGGGCCTGATGACCACCTCTTTTCTCTTATTATTCTCTTGGAACACTATGTCCTGTTCGGGGCTGGATTTGTTCCTGGCACGGACAGCTCACCTCTGTCCCCTCAGCTCCAGCACAGCCCAGCATCCACGTCCCACCTAACTTAGTCGTGTCCAGCCTTGACTGGAGACAGGACGCTACTGCCTTTCTTTCAAATGAGATCTATTTCTCACCTCAAATGGGAGACTCTTTGCTGAGGCATTGACTGGAAAGGGCAGAAAAGGGGCAAGCCACCGCGAGGGGCAGCGGACAAAGAGAAAAGGAGGGATGGCAGGCAGCACATCCGGAGGCCTGTCTCCGGTCAAGGCTGGACATAACTAGGTTAGGCGGGGCGTGGACCTGGGCTGTGCTGCAGCTGAGGGGACGGAGGTGAGCTGTCCGTGCCGCCACAGCCGGGGCCTCTGGCCTGGCGGAGTGCACATCTGACCTTCAGTGGCTGCCATCCCGGTGAGAATGAAGTCAAAATATACTAGCTCAAACCACAAGCTCCCTCCTAATCTGATCTGAGTCCTGTGGCTGCTCAGTAGGTTGCAGCCACACTGTCGCACACTCACCATGCTGTAGCTGTGGACCATTGTTTGGAACTCCCAGACCTGTCGGGCTCTCCCTGGCAGGGCCCTTCCTGGACCGCTCTCCCAGCCTCCTGAATCTCAGTTCACATTCTCAACTCTTCCACTGAGTTTGGTGCCAACCTTGATGGTCTCAAACCCTGTGATTTCCCAAGTGGGGAACATGTGATGGTTACCGGTAACTCCAGATATTGGCAATAATGTGTGCCCTGTAAGTGTGGAATGAATGAGTGAGTGAATGAAAGAAACTGCCGTGCCTCTCAAATCCTGAACACAAAACCCCAACCCGCCCTCTGAAAAATGCCCTAGAGTCTAATTGATAAAACTCTTAACTACGTGTGAATCAGTAAACAGGATTTTTCTTTCTGTTTTTGTCCTGTCCATTGGGAAAAGAGAACTAAAAAGAAACATTTGCTGAGTCCTGGCCTTGCCGCTTCTGTGTCTGTGGTCAGCGATAGAGAGAGGAGCCGGACAGGGCTGCGGGCTTTGAAATAAATAACCCTTCCTCTATTTTAAGTACAGTTTTTAAAAAGAAAGTTCTACTATATACTTAATTGGATTCTTTCTTGCTGCAATTTAAACCCTCTTCCTTTTTTCCCTGAGTGGAATTAGAACTCATTATCTCTGAAGTTCACAGGGGCACCTTTTCTAAGTAAGACAAGGAACTGACTCTTAGAGCGTACGTTCTCTCCTCACCTTTGTCTTCCTGTGAGTGTGTCTCTCTCAGACTTTCCAGAATTGTGCATTTGCTTTAACGAGTTAGTACATAATACATTCCTGTGCTTTTTGAGAAAACAATTTCCATCTGCTCATATATTGTTAATAAGTAATGGGTTCTTACTTTCTTTTAAAAAAGTCTCATCCTTCCCTACTTCCCTCTCTCGAATACCGAAGCTCAGATCCTGTGAGGTCCCACATAATTTAAGTGTTAATTCCTTCCTCAGCTCTTGTCAAGCTACTGCACACACCATACAGGTTCCATTAAACCTCATAGTCTGTGCATGCTGATGTCTCAGAAAAAGCAAAGTAGCTCTTGCTGGATATTAAAATATCTTGCTCAAGAGTAGCGTCTTTCATCCCCATTTCTGAAGACGTATTTATTTATTTGGCCTTCAAAAAGAAAACAGAAGTCTGTCACAACTAAAGAGAATGCAAGCGCTGAGCTCTTCATTTCATTTGCGGAGACCATCTGGTTCTGATAATTCACAGGGCTCGCGTGTCAGGGTTTGCCGTCCTGAGCAGTTTCAGTCTTAAATCACCCTGTGTTGGCAAACAATAGTGAGGGCCGGGCCAGGAAAGAAACAGACGGATCTTATGGATGAAATGAGATTAAATAAAGGCATAAGCATGCCAATATTCCCATTGCCAATATTCCTATTTCTAATATATTTACCTTGGAAGCCACTACGTTATTTCAATGATGATGACGTTGAAAACCATTCTATTCTGGAACTTCTCTTTTAGAGTTGGCATCTGAATCAGAGGGCTACATCTTGATTTTTTTTTTTAAGAGTAAATTTTTAGTAGTGGCATGTATTAGGTGAATGATCCAGTTGGGTCATTCTAGGTGGAAACTTTGAAGTAGTCAAAAGAGATGAGTTTAAATAAGGAGCCAGAGACCCGGGCCCTAGTTCTGACTCTGTCATTTGTTTGCTTTGTGATGTTGGAAATTTCACTGCACTGCTTTAAGCCTCAATTTCTTTATCTGTAAAATGGGAATAAGACCTGTGAAACTTGATGGGGATTTCAAATGAATAAGCAAAGTTTGAGTCTTGTCTTTGTTGCTTCCAAACTTTTATGTCTTTTGTATATCACTTCATTTTGAGCAACATCAGAACAGAATCCTGGAGTCCTAGAATGCTAGTGGTCCAAGAGATTATCCTGTCAGAAATCTCATGTTACAGACGAGGAAACTGAGAACCATAATGACTAGAAGAAGTGCCTCGAATGTGAAGGTCACTACTTTAACACAGAATGCTTCTTTGGCATTTACATTTAGGGGTTTTTTTTAAAAAAAAAAAGACCCAAACCAAAAATAACCCCTGATTTTATTGAAGTCACACTGCTACGCTATCAAATTAAATGGATTTCCTAGTAAATGGGACAGCAGTCCTCTTGGGCTTATAGATCAGGATCACTCTGCATATTCTGTTTAACCCAGAGGAGGAGTGGAAATATCCAGGGTAGCTGGAGGGAAGCTGTAATAAACCTTCTCCCAGAAAGGAAAAGTTTATGCTGGTCCTTCAGTATCCTCTGGAGTGTCTTTGTAAACAAAGAGTGTAGTTGTCATTTCATCTGCCTCTGGGCTTATCTGATCTTTCAGCACAGGAGAGTAAGGAGTGAGGCCACGCAGGGGGCCAAAGGTGGGCTAGACATGAGAACCACAAAGGAGAGGGGGCAGGAAGGAAGAATGGAATAATCTAGGTTGAGGAGGGAGCAAAAGATAGGAGAGGAAGAGAAAAGAAGAGAAGGAAGTTTCACCTTGAGGACTGTAGGAAGGGTCACCATGACTATTCCTGGTGGCATCTGTGCTGCTACTGTTTGTCTTCCTGGGAACATTATCACACCACCAGTGAGAGTATCTGTTTCTTGTAAACAGACAAACTCTCAGGAGAGGGGTTCCCCTTTGCAGCTACTCTTAGAAACTCAATACAGTATTTTGTAACAATCCCTGCTCTTACAAAGGTCTTATTTAAGAAAAAAAAAAATCCCTGTACATCACCCTTGTAATTACTTCTTCATTATCACACTAAAAATAAGTCAGTGTTTATATTGGAAAAATCCATCCTTTTTGCCCCCTTCCATTTTTTATACAGGCATAAATTTGTTTTTCACACAAGACATGAAGATTTCAGAAGGTTGGGTCAATTATTTGTCAGTTGAACTATAGGAAAAATGTGTGATTATCCAATCGAACTCAGAAGCGTATATAGCTAATTTTGTGCCTACATGTATCTAACCCAGCCATAGTAATTATAATCACTCTTTGTTTTTTATTTCCTGGGGGAGATAGGTTAGGTTGGACCTGAATGTATCATTATAAAGTATGCACATATAAATTGAACTTTCCTAAATCTAGGTCATTTGGGTAAGAAGGCTCTTTTGATAAAACCAAGTTGACAATTAGATTCACCGGGCACTTCAACATTAAATGATATTCTTCCCACATTCTGGGTCATAAGGCAGTGTAAACAATACACCAATGTTAAGAAACACAAAATCGCATTCACAATAATAGCAAAGCTTCATGGTGCATGATTTTACACTTTAATATGCTGTGTTCTGTTCTGCCGTGTTAATATTTTAAGTAATATAATTTCCTTTTCGCATAGTTTTAAGTTCATCTTTCATTTTCTCTTTACCTTTCTTGAAGAGCTTATTATAATGCTACATCTTATGCCAGGAGAAAATCCTAAAAAATAAAAAGCATAAAGGCAAATAATCTTTGCAGGAATGCAGCAAAAACAACAACAAAAATTGATTTAAGATCCTCCAGCAAAAATGTTTATCTTACGTTCTTTACAGACTCCATCTGTGTACCAGGCTTTGATCCAGGCCTCAACATGATGACTGGAATCACCCCCATTAACCCAATGATACCAGGCCTGGGGCTGGTACCACCCCCACCGCCAACAGAAGTGGCTGTCGTCAAAGAAATAATCCACTGCAAAAGTTGTACCCTTTTTCCTCAAAATCCAAGTAAGTGATGCGTTGAGAAATATTTGCTCATCAATTTAAATTTCTTTTTTAGTGTAGTATTGCATTCATTTTCAGATATGACTCAAAATTTTGCCACATAGATACACAGAGTGGGGATCCATTCTGCAGAAAGTCTCTATTTCTAGATTAGGACAAATATATGGGCATGTGTCCATGTGTCTGTCCAGGAGCTAAATTGATACCCTGAAGGCAGTATGTCTGATTTGAGGATGCATATCGAGCATTAAGAATGTTTTTGCGTGCAATGAAGCCTAGCATTTGCTGCAGAACATAGTGTGAAATACGTGAGCACTTCCATCCATCTTCACAAATGTGGGAGAAAAAACTCTGAAATGTGTTTTGCTAGATGGAAAATTGAATTAATTTGGCAATTTGCAGTTTTGGGGGGAGCCTACATCTCAGAGTTTCTGGACCAAATTGCATCTGCTTGAAGGAAACATACATTTGATGAAATAAATGGGAAAGAATTTTTTTTTCCATTTAGCCTCAGATACTACGTTTATGGGCTTAAATAGCTAGAATTTTTTTTTATTCATATTAATCAGTGTTGCCTTTTTTAAGTGGACTTTTCAGAAGATTGCTTTAGTAATCTACATATAAACTAGGTAAAATGTTGTGACAGTGTACATTTTATCTTTTTAGACAGCCTCCCCCAAATTTAATAGTTTGCTCACTTAAATGCGAATAATAATAATTTTTTTAAAAAAGTATTTCTTCCAGGCCCGGTGTTTCCCAGACAAGTAAGTCGTGCGCGTGCTTCCATGTCTGCTCCCTGTGTTCCGCCTTACTGCGCCATTATCCCGCCACGAGACAAAGCAGATAGCAAGCCGAGGCTTTTCATCACGTTGTCATTTCATCGTGCTTTGTACTCTGTGAAGTGTTTTTCCCCTTTTTTCTGGGGAAAAAAACACTTCTGCATTATGAAGGAGAAATGAAATTATGCTAACATTTGCTTTATCTTTGTTCGCGGACAAGCATAGCCACTGTGTGTAGAAATGAACAGAGACAGTAAAGAAAGGTTGGGAGGAGGAGGGGAGAGGAACATAAAAAACAAGACAGCCCGGGATCAATGTAAGTTGGTATAGAAATCTATCATTACTCAGAACGAAGAAAGTTACTCTGCAAGTCTTGCTTTTGCCGGGTGAACCTGAAAAAAACAGCGCAGAGAAATAAAAGGCCAAACCTTCTGTTTTGTTGTGATTATTAGATCTTCCGCCTCCTTCCACAAGAGAACGACCTCCTGGGTGTAAGACTGTGTTTGTCGGAGGATTACCAGAAAATGCTACTGAGGAAATTATTCAAGAAGTCTTTGAGCAGTGCGGTGATATTACAGCGATTCGGAAAAGCAAGAAGAATTTTTGTCACATTCGCTTTGCAGAGGAATTCATGGTTGATAAAGCCATTTACCTTTCTGGTACTTTGCATTACATAAGGGGTTTTCCAGGCATTTTGTTATGTTTTGTGATGTTAATATGAGCTTGTTCCCCTTTCCCTTAATACACAATAAAGTCCTCACAGTTTGGGGCTAGGAGGAATTCTGCCTTTTTCCTTGCCTGCCAGAAGCACTCTGTTAAGTCTGTGAATGTACCTCACCACAGGAACGGTCCCCCACCACCCCGTCTTTAGGAATTCCATCGTTTCTAATTAATGTTCTCAAGTGCTTATTAGATGAAAAGCAATATTATGAATACTGAGGACCATTATTATTATTGGATGTAATTCTCTGGGGGGATAAAGTACTCTCTCAGCATAATTTCAGTTTTTCAAAATTGGTTCACTTTCTAGACACCAGGGTACCAAATCAAGGTCAGTTGCTCACAGAAAATAGTTGGTGGGCCCTAGGGGAAGGCCCAAATCATTGCCCAGTTGCGAGTGCATTTAGCTTGGTTAAGCCCGCCCCATGATCCCTGCTTCTTTGGTGCCAGTTTATATGGGAAACTTTTACAGATGTTGAAATTAGACCTAATGCCGCCTTCCACTCTGTGGGTGTTGAAGCAAGTGTATGGAGTCTGTCAACAATGCCTTTGCCAAATCTAAGAATTATGGGGCCGGTGTTGATAACGTGGCTTCAGAAGGACGTATTTTTATATTTGACTCATTGCCATTCCCTCACACTCTCCATCTGCATATTTCAGTCTGTCACTCAGAGCACCACCTCCCTATTCCTGAGGCAAAGCTAATGGGGGGAGGTGAGAAGAGAACAGGAAAAAAACCACACACAGCTGAATATTACTGCCAGGTTTACTTCATCTCTGCAGGTGGTCCCTATTGCCATGAAATTCTCTTGCAAACCCCAGCAGCCTTGGGGTTATTCCAGCCCCGCACAGACCTTCCTGAACTAGTGATATGGAGAACTTTAAAACCGTTATTCTGATAAAACCTTACAAAGTGGAAAAAAAAAATCTGAAAGCATTCCAAAATGGAGATGGAAGACAAAACATAGACTGAAAATATTTTACAGCACACTAACAGCTCTGTTTTACTTTTCACGTATTCTTTGCTATAGCATCAGAGCAATCTATTAGACAATGGAGGATTCTGTCGAGCGCATGCACTGGGTTTCACATGCCCTGGGCAAGACAACCTCTCTCTGAGCCTCTTTCATCTGCAAAATCGAGACAGTAACAGTACTACCTCTTAGGGTTGTTATGAGGAATAAATCAAAATAATGGATACTAAGTGCTTAGCAGGGTGCCTGCAACATAGGAGCCATTCAGTAAATGGTTGTTTTTAACACCAGTATCCGGATGGTGATAAGGAAGGGCTGATTCTTGTTTCTCAGGAACCCTGTCTGGGAACTTGGGTTCCAAGCACAGCTCTCCCAATCAAACTATTACTTTACCTGCCCCACCCCCCCATTAAATGAGAGGATTAGACTAGATCATAGATGCTTTTCAACACTGACATAATACGATGCTTAAACCCAATCAGAAACCCCATAAGACACTGCCAAAGACAAAGAGGCCCAAATTTAGGCACCTGAAAGGTATTGCTTTATTTATACCTTGATGCTTTGCTTTTCCCAGCTCGGGCCCTTGTCCTGCTTCTCAGCGGGGCCCTGACTGTTCCCTGGTTTGCCCCATTGTGACAGGAGGAACCCACAGCCAAGGCCTCACCTCTGGCCTCCCTGCCCTTGGGGCACAGGAGTCTCCTGGCTCCGCCTCAGCTGCCCCGCAGAGGCTGCAGCATCAGTCCAGGGAAGATCTGAAAGGCTGATTAATTGGAGGGGCAGGATGGAAGGAAGGCTGCCCCTCCTGCATGCGAGCTTCTGCGAGCCTGAGCCCAGCTGGAAGGCCTGTCTAATTTTAGGGCCGTTGGAATTTGAAGGCCGAGCTAATTTTAGACTCAGCCTCATCAGGGTCTCTTTTAAGGCCTTAATGATGATGTTTTGGTGAAAGAGAGGGTGCTTTTTGGAACCAGAGATGTCTGAAAAGCGATGCTCTGGACATGAGCAGGGGAAAGTTGCCTGGCCAGTTGGGACAGCTGGCCAGTCTCAGGCCATCCTGCCTGCTCAGCTGTTATGTATATATCATTGTGCCTGCTGACTTGTTAAGTTTCCATGGCCCACAACCAAGATACACTCTGCTTTAGCATTAATTCTGCTCATCTGTGATCAGATGTTGGTGTTTTTTGTAGGTATTATATCTTACCATTTTTAGATACCACCGATGAAAGCTAGGAGGGAGAAGGGCATACCAGGCATCAGATGTGAGCTCTGTTTCATATTTGTAACTTTTCAAAGGTGTGAAGTGCCCTGCTGGGGAAAAGCCAGCCTCAACAGGGATTTTTCAGCTGAGTTTCAACCCCAAATACCAAGATAATCCATTGAAATCTACCACGAGATCTTGAACATCAGTGCAGTGCAACCTAGCATTTCACAGTGGGTTCTTCTTTGCAAAGCCCCTGCACAGCGAAAGTGCTTATTTTTGCTCTTTCCTCCGGCAACCCCTGACAGCTGTGGTCCCGCTGGGACCTAAATTTATGTTTTCAAAATCTGAGTACCCCAAACTGAAGAGCAACCTCAAAGCTGAGTCTTCCTCATTTGAAGTTAGGCTCACTGGCTGGTTTTGGTTCTGTTTGTGTTGATTTCTCAGATCAAGTTTCTCTTCATAATCTTTCTATGTTGGGTAGCTCATAGTAAATCCCCCAAAGATTTCCAGGCCCGTTTTTGGTCTAGCTCTGGGCTCTTGCATGCGCTCCCGCGGCCTTCAAAGATTGTGTGGACAATTTGTGCCGTGCTGCATGCCAGGTGAGGTGCCGCCGGGCTGTGAGGAAGGCAGAGGCGAGGCCACTTGATTGAAGGTAAAATATTCTCCTGCGTGCCCTAGAGGATAAGTGGAAATAAAACAGCATTGTAAAATTGCCTCGGTAATTGTGGCTTTAGCAGCTGCCGAGAGAGAATTGAGCAGCAGCGTTTTCTAGGGGAATGAAGTGATAGCCTGTGACTGAGGTGTGGTGGAATTTGCTTTGTAGATCTTTTTAAATAACATAGATACTCTTTATTTACTCCTACTCCACCTCTTTCTAAAAAGAATTTGAGAGCTTATGCAATAGAGTTACAGCAAATTGAAAATATAATATCAAGGCCATAAAAAAGGGGGAAAAATGCTACATGCCAAATTTGTTTCTGAGCTTCCTGGAAGCCAGAGGGAAGAAGGAGTTGTGGTAAGTACCTTGGTTCTTGAGATCATCCTCCGTAACACTGGCTTGAAGACTGGCAGGTGACCCTGTGAGACACCTCCCAGAGGTGTGTTTATCCCCAAATTTATAAGAGGCTTAACGTGGCAGAGCTTCCAGGTTCCGGGGGAAGATAACTGCTTCCCACCTCCCATGGGGAGGGTGTCTTTTGCAAGGGCACAGAAATAAGTGAGAGCTCCCTGCTAGTGCACCCCGGGGGCCTGGACCAAACTGCACCCTTGTCATTGTTGCACTGTGATGTGACCTGACTTTCCATTGGTTTCAGGTTACCGGATGCGATTGGGGTCTAGCACGGACAAAAAGGATTCAGGCCGCCTTCACGTGGACTTTGCCCAGGCCAGGGACGACTTCTACGAGTGGGAATGCAAGCAGAGGATGCGCGCCCGTGAGGAGCGGCACCGGCGCAAGCTGGAGGAGGATCGGCTGCGGCCGCCCTCGCCGCCGGCCATAATGCACTACTCCGAGCACGAGGCCGCCCTGCTGGCCGAGAAGCTGAAAGGTATGAGGCCGTTCACTCTCGCTGTTGTTCCTCAGCGTTAGCCAGTGCTCACTAAAAGAAAAACGCAGTGATCCCAAAGCGCAGAAACCCCGTGTGTTTTTGTTGTCCCTTCATGTGCTGATTTCATGTGAACTGGGTCACCTGGAAGCAGGAGACACCTGGATTTCCACATGTTGGTTGGAACACAGCCCTGCCCCTTTCCAGTGCTTTCACATGTGTTCTCATGAATAAGTGAGTAGTGTAATCAACAAAACTCATGGAAGGAGGGGCACGAGAGTCATCAGCGCCAGCCCCAAAGCAGGCTACTAGCTTCTGACCCGTGTTGATTGACTGGGCCAGTGTCTACTCCTGTGGTTGGGCAGGTCCTGGGGTTTCTCCGGCTCTGTAGAGTTTGCACCTGTGGTGGACCCTCAACGCCTCCCTTGAAGCACATCAGAAACGGAGGTGGGTCTGTGGAGGATAGAAGAGAAATGTAGACTAGGATCCCTGTCTTCAGAGATGGAATTGAAGGACACTCTTAACACCTACAGGATAATTAGGAAGAAGAGCACATATATTTCTTTTCTTTAAATGTTTGCTGTGCTCCTCTTCTGGTGTTTGATGCTGTGGGAGAGAAAGACATGGACGCTTTAGAATCTGCCTATCATTTAGTACAGAGGATTGGGGAGGGACCAGATTTCGAAGTTAGGATGATGTGTGTGAACTCTGTTCCACTGTTGATCAAAGTTGTGTGACCTAAACAGCATCTGTGCATTTTACAGGCAAATGATGGTCAGACCCTCCTCAGCCATTGGACATGCCAGGTTTTAATGACAGAACATAGGTCACAGTCACTGGCCACATGTAGGTGTCTACAAGTAAATGACTAACTGTAATACAGAGCAAATGACCTGATTGTCAACCAACATGTGAGCAACATGCTTTGGGAACTCAGAGACAAGTGTGAATAATGTTGAGGAAATTCTCAAGAAAGTCTTCACAGAGAAGGCAGAATTTGAACTTTGCAGGATAAGCGAGATTTTTCCCTCAGGAGAAGAAGGGGTCTAAAGAATTCCTAGTCAGAAGCTGGAGCCCTGGAAATAATGACACATGTAATAAATAAATATAAGTAAATAAAACAAAGGCATGGGGGAGAAAGGCATGTCACCTGCTCCGTCAAACACGCACACTGCATGAAAGTTTATAGAGCAAGGTGAAGCTGGAAAAGCAGTCTCGGGCCAGTTGGTGGAGCCCTGAAGGCTGCCACTGGATTTGGGTTTTATGCCATAAACAATGGGGAGGCCATTAAAGATTTCTTACAACAGGAGAGATGTGATTGATCCTTTGAGTATTTTAGAGCATAGCTTGTGTATTGATGGCAGTGTGTAAAGTGGATTGGATGTTTACACTGAAGAAAATATGTGAAAAGCTGCCCAAAACCTATTTTAGGAAGATAGGAAGTTGACATTCTATTTCTTTAAAAAATAATTTTTTAAAAAAAGACTTCTAGCCTTCATCCCCTGTCCAGGCCTTGGGAAGCCCTTATCAGCTGCAGTTGCCACTGAAATGTCCCATTTTAACCACAGAGTGCTTCTTGCCAATGCTTTTGGTGCATGTTCTGCTGCTCTGAAAAGGTGTGTCTTACAGATTTCAATACATACACTGTAGCTGTCCCTTTAATAAAAAGCATATAAAATGCAAATGCAGGCATCATCTCACTTTTCCATTCAGGCTAGAAACCATAAGGAGTGGCCAGAATGAGAAAGAGCAACATCAACCAGGAGTGTTGATTTTGGAACAAATAATTTTTTTTAAAATACCCAGTACATTGTGTAGTATCAGCCTGTGAGCTTCACAGACTAAACCGTATTCAGTCATGTCCGCACCTAGAAGTGGTAAAGACTAACGCCTTGGTTCTGTGACCTCGTGGAGGGATTTCACAAAAGCTTGGCATCTACGGTATGTTCTTTTTAAGAAACCAGCACAGAAGTGCCGATGCGTGTAAGAGGTACACACCATTGCCTTTCCTGTTAGAGGATAGCAGATGGGGATGTCAATTTGGTGAAGTAATTTGCAAGCCTTGCCATTTCAAAAATATATATTTATGTAGATGAGTATAATTTGCAGAATTTAGAAGCTGCACCTTTGCCAAGTACTGTGTGATCCCTTGAGGAGAGAACAGATTGGAAATTTTAATAGATGGCTGTTAGAGTAGAATGAACTAGCTGGGGATACATCTTAGGCAACAGTCAGGTAATATCAAGCTTGACAATTTCAACCCAAGCTCAGGGTTTGGAATATAAACAGCATTTAATTGCTTAGGAAATTGGCTGCCTCAGAGAGGAAATCCACTCCATGCTCCTTATAACGCTGCAAAGCCAGACAGGAGGAGCCAGGGAAACTGTTTCCCTGAAGATGATTTCATTGATGTGGAGACAAAAATGCAGTCGAGACCTAGTGAAGAAGACTGGGTGAGAAAGGAAATGGAGATGCAATGTGAAAATACCTAATTGGATTTGATTTTTTTTCCTCCCCTGAGACATCTTGCTGTCTTAGGTTTATTATTTTTTTTCCCATTTTACAATATACTTGTTTATTCTTAAATTTTCTTTTTGAAAATCAGCTTTATCCAGCAAAATCTATGCAAGCCAAGTCTTTATGATGACCCACAAGGTTCCCATATCCTGCCCAGTGTTAAAACTATGCACGTAGTAGCTGCTCACTAAATTCATTTCTTTCTCTCTTCCTTAGCTGTTTGGATCTATGAGCATGGTGCGTTCCCAGCCAGTAGTGCTACCAGGCATGACCAGAGGTGTAGGGAAATGATATGTGCTTGGCCATCATTCCTTTCACTCTACAAGTGTTTGTTGAGCTCTTTTTATATGCCTGGTACTGTGCTAAGCACTGGGAGGAAAGAAAACAGCATGCAAGCCCCTGCCTCAGAGAGTTTAGGTTTCTTGAGTGACAGAGGCAATTACAAAGCACTCTGTACATACTCACTATTATGCATGGGAAGAGCAGGGTGCTGTCTAGAAGAGACGCAACTAGCCAGGCAGTGGTGGGTTGAGGGAGAGAGGATCATCTGGGACCAGGTAACCCCAATCAGCGGCCACTGGGCCTTCTGAATTCAGAGGAAACAATGAGTTGTAATTGTATAGTGTATAAGGCACTAGCGTGTCTGTTACGTTAATACCAATTCTAAAAAAGAAAATTAGCGGGCACCCTGCTGATTAAATAGACATTGTTCTGAGACAATTCAACTTAATGAAGACTGACTGGGAAGTAACTGCTCACAGACCCAAAGTTTATAGCATGGCTCTGAGAAAGTGAGGAGCTCAATAACACCATAATTACGCTTTATTGGAAACAGTAGCACCAGGCAGATGAGATAATGAATTTCAGTGTGTCTAACAGAGACCATCCACCCCTGGAGGAACCCTGTGTTTGGACTGTGGAAGGAAGAGATTGATTTCGACAGTGAGGAAAGATTATATCCTAATTCACTGGGGGTTTCTCCTGGCAAGAGCATTTAAAAGTTTTTGTGTACTTTTTACCCCCTTTGGAAAGCTTCACCTAATCTTTCATTATGTGATGAAATGAAGAGTTTCTCTCTGCATCAGGTGAAGTTTTGACAAAGCTTTGCAAGCATCGCCCTTGGGATTCCCTGATGTGTCATTAGGAATTCAGCCCTCCTGGGATCAGCATCCCTAATTTCTGGAGGACTAGGCTCCGATTTGCATACAGAACTGCCCCTGTCAGCCTGCCAGAGGGGGAAAGGGTGGAGGTGGCGCCAGCATTTTGCTGAGATGGTTGTCAATATTTATAGTGCCAAGAAAGTAAAAATCAATAATGCTACGAGCCAAGTGGAAGTTCCATTAGCTAAAAGCCAGGCTGCCTTTCTTAGGGCAAAGGAAATATGAAGCACAGGAGCTCACGTGGGAACCGCTTCCTTGGGCATTTCTGACCTTCACAGAGGCAAGGTAGGCCATTCCAGCTGGAAGCATTTTGCTTGACCCCAAAGCAGAAATAATCAGTGCATTTTCATATTGCTTCCCTTAATTTTCTCATCTTTTATAGGTACTCAATAGTTGGGAAGTCTGTGTGTGTGTGGCGGGGGGAGATAGAGGGGAGCATTAACCATTCGTATAGCCTTTTAGCCTTTTATGCTATCCATGATTTGGAGGATAAGTAAGGTACCAGCCATTTTGATGCTTAACTGAGCAGCCAGAAAATGAAGATTTGTTTAGGGGTGTCCACTGTTTAGGGACACAGAGTGAAACTTTGGGAATGTGGCAGTAGCAATGCTTTGGCCATCCTGGAATTCCCATTCTTCTTGGGTCAACATGTTATTGTACAATGTGAGCTATTTCCAGCTATCATAGAAGCCAGAAATCAGTGACACACCATTCACTATGTGTGCGTGCACATGTGTGCATGTCCCTATTTCTTTGGAAAGAAAAGTGTTGTAGAATGCCTTCCTTTTTGTTTTTCTCGTTCTCAAGACATTTTGTTCGAACATGGAATCTTCCCTCCTGTTGTTCCTTTATCGACTCAGCCATCAATAAGGGTCCTACAGCCCACCTAAGTTTTTATATTCACTGTCCATGGCCTGAATTTTAACCACCTATTGTTCTGAAATTCAAAGCCAAATCTTCTTCTGCACACAAAGGGGAAGAAAAAACTACTTACCAATTTGCTTCCTTTTCCCCTTCATTATCTACACATCATTTTGGTTAAAGTCCCCCACCTGCCGAGTCCTGGGCTCCGTGCCACACCCTGGGGTTTCAGATGGGACTGCAGCATGGCTCTGCCTTTGATGAGCTTGCAGTTCAAGGGCTGCTGAAGGATACTATGGCAGCGAAATCATGACCATCTTACAAATAAAAAATAAACATGCCAATGATTTTAACTCACTAATGAATGGGGAAATCAGTAAGTTAAAACTGGTTCAAAACAGAATTTGCTTTATAAAGATTTATGTTTCCTACTGGACAGAAATTCATTTGGATTTCTATGGAGAA